CCCGTCATTGGCAACCACGAGGGATACCCGGTCAACCAGTGAGCACTTTTGGAGGGATATTTTTAACTCTTTACTTTACCAACAACTTTTTCGTTTGCAGATTTTGCCCCCCTCAGCTGGGCGTGGAGCGCTTCTCCGCAAAGTGGCTCTACGAGGAGTTGCTCTCACAGTGGAGCGACTGGATTCCCGCCGACAGTCACACACTTTTTGCCAACAATGGCTACTACTCAAAGTCGGTGGTGGAGGAAACCAGTGGCCGGGGAGTTCGCTTCATCGTCCTCAACATGAACTACTGCGCTCGGCTGAACTTTTGGATTGCCTACGACTTTCTCGACATGGGCGGCATGCTGGCGTGGATGCAGCGGGAGATGCAGGCGGCCCTCGCCGCCAACCAAACCGTCTACATTGCCGGGCACATTGTCCCCGACACTGAGGAGTGCGCCACCCACTGGGTGATGCTGTACAACGACATTGTGGAGCGGTACGCGGCCATCATCAGAGGGCAGTTCTTTGGCCACACGCACATGGACGAAATTCGGCTGTACTTCTCGGCGGTGAACAGCAGCCGACCGGTGGGCGTCGCCTACGTCACGCCATCTGTCACAACCTTCTGCGATGTGAACCCCGCCTTCCGCCTGTACAACACCGACCCGGCGACCGGGGCCATTGTCGACCACCGCACGTACTACATGAACCTGACGGAGACGAACCGCCTGCACGGCCTCTCCAGTCCCTTCTTTACGCCGGCGCCTCGCTGGGCCTTTGAGTACTCTGCCCGGGAGGCGTACAACCTCAGCTCGCTGGAGCCGGTCGACTGGCACCACCTGATGAGCACCATCAATGAGAAGAAGGAGCACCTGCACCGGTACTACCGCTTCTACGGACGGTACGACCCGGCGCAGGTGGCCGCCAAGAGTGACGCTGCAATGCTCGCCTTGGTCCAGGATCGGGTTTTTGTTCGCTTTTAAGTGTTTTTTGACTGGCTGAATTTTTACTGTCTGAACTTGGTAGTTTTGTACAAACTGTAATTTTTCACTTTAGTATTTGGAAAGAACTTAAAATTGTTAGATGAAAGAATTTTCTGTAAAGAATTTGAATAAAAATACCTTTTTTGCTACAAAGCTTTATGCGCCACCTTTGGGTTGAATTCAGAAGAGATTGTTTTATTTTTAGAACAATCTTTCGTTTTCGTGTTGACGCAGCTGAAGATGGCAGCACTGCTTTTATACGGCAACTTTTTGGAATTTCTGACTCTGAAACAGCCTGGTCATCGTTCACTTTACGTTTCTCGCTTTTTCTATGCTCTAAATCATCTTGAATCACGATAGACACCTTAAGTGAAGATTACGCTAATACTTCGTCGCACAGCAAGATGGTCACATTCAAGGTGGATTACCTTTGGAAGATTGATAACTTCAAAAGTTTTCTTCCGCAAAAAACTGAAAAGTTCTCTCCAAAGTTCTTCAATGCTGATCATAATATGACGTTTGATTTAGATATTCGACACTCAAAGAAAGATAACAACAGTGTGAATACTATCGGATTGAATTTGGGCTGTTATCCAGGAAAAACAATCAAAGGTGGTATTCCAATCACTTTTGAACTAGCTTTTCTCAAAAACGATGGAAGTTACTTCAAACAACCTGGTAAATATTTTATTCATTCAAACAAACAATAAAACTAAACTTCTTTTAAAATAGAACTTTCACACACTTTTGATGGAAAAACCTTTTCAGGTTTTGGTTACGGTGCTTTTATTGATTACTCTAAAGTATTGGATCCATCAACCAGGATTCTACATGACAGCCATCAGCTGCAAGTTAGCTGCAAGGTTTGATTTTATGTTTGTGTACATTATTTTGTTTATGATAACATATTTTCTTAGGCCACTGTCAACTATAACATGTTCCAAAGTCAATTCTCCTCCGATTTAGTGGCTCTTTTGGACAGTGGCGATTTCAGTGATATCAACATTCTTGTCAACGGCACTAAAATACCTGCTCACAAAAACATTCTTTCTACCCGTTCTCCAATTTTCAAAGCAATGTTTAGTTACGATAATACAAAAGAAGCTCTAGAAAAAGAAGTGGTAATTCACGACGTTTCGGTTAATGTTATGAAAGAATTTTTGCGATTCATCTACACTGGAGTGAAGCATCAAGGAAATCATGATTGTTCAGAACTTCTGGCTATTGCTGATAAGGTAAACGATTTTTTATTGAATGAGCACTTTTAACAAACTTGCTTTTTTAGTACCAAGTAGATGACTTAAAATTATACTGTCAAGATCAACTCTCCTCTTTACTCAAAGTCGAAAACGTGATCGAAGTTTTTCTCAAGGCTGATCTCTATAATGCTGCCATTCTTAGGGAAAAATGTTTGGTTTTTATTTCTTCCAATTTCAAAAAAGTTGTGCTGACCAAAGATTGGGAGCTGATGTGCAAGTCTGAAGGAGATAAGATGATTGAGGTCACTCGCTTTGTGGGAAAGTATTCTTAATCGTTTGATTGATTATAATACCGGGGTTATGCTCATTTTAAATTTCGACCACTTTTTATTCCTATTTTAAAAATCTCGTAAAAGAACCAGAATAAAATCTTTTCACTTTTTGTACAATTTTTTGTTTTTGCATGTTTATACAGCTAAAGATGGCAGCACTGCTCTTATACGGCAACTTTTTGCTTAGAATTTCCGTCTCGGAAACAGCGTGGCCGTCGTTCACTTCACGTTTCTCGCTTTTTCTATGCTCCAAATCATCTGGAATCACGATGGACACCTCAAGTGAAGATTACGCTAATACCTCGTCGCGAAGCAAGATGATCACATTCCAGTTGGATCACGTTTGGAAGATTGATAACTTCAAAAGTTTTCTTTCTAAAGAAACTGAACAGTTTTCTCCCAAGTTCTTCAATGCTGATCATGATATGATGTTTAGCTTAATGATTAAGCGCCCAAAGAAAAGTAAAACCAAGGTGAATGCTATTGAATTGTACTTGTACTGTTATCCTGGGAAAATGATCAAAGGTGGTATTCCAATCACTTTTGAACTAGCTTTTCTTAAAAACGATGGAAGTTGTTTCAAACAACCTGGTGAGTATTGTTTTTAACTGGATAAATAACAAAATTAACCTTTTTGTAATAGCAATCACATACATTTTTAATGATACCAGAAGTTATTCTGGCTACGACATTTTTGAAGATTATTCTAGAATAATGAACCCGTCTGGCCATTTTCTGCATGACAACCATCAGCTGCAAGTTAGCTGCAAGGTTTGATTTTATTTATTGTTTTATTTTTTTGTTTCTGATTACATATTTTTCCCAGGCCACTGTCAACTATAACAAGATCCTAAATCATCTTTCTTTGGATTTAATATCTCTCTTTGACAGTGGCGATTTCAGTGATATCGACATTGTTGTCGACGGCACTAAAATACCTGCTCACAAATGCATACTTTCTGCCCGTTCTCCAATCTTCAAAGCAATGTTTAGTTACAATAATACGAAGGAAGCTCTGGAAAAAGAGGTGGTAATTCCTGACGTGTCGGTTAATGTTATGAAAGAGTTTTTGCGATTTATCTACACTGGAGTGAAGCCTAAAGAAAGTCCTTACTTTTTGGAACTTCTGACTATTGCTGATATGGTAAACTCAATTTTTTATTGATTGCACATTTTTAACAAACTTTTGTTTCCCCAGTA